ACTGCCAAGACAAAAGTGGCAGGTATCTTTACAGAACAGATGGTTACCTCATAGTCAATTTTAAATTTCTGAACCATTCCAAGCTCCATGAACATCCGGAGGGCTGCAGTAATCATGGCATCCACATCAAGTGAAAAGTCATCGAAGTGGATGTCATCGATGCCAAGTTCTGATGCCAGTGGGATGTTTGCTGCCTAGAAATGCCAAAAGAACGGGAAAAGTTCTTACTCAAAATTCATTTGTTTCCCTTTGTCTCATTCTTAGAACAAATTTCCTATGTACTGCTCCTGACCTGCAAATGTAGCCTTCTAGACCCAAATTTCAAACAATATACCTCTTTGTTTCAGAAGTACAAATGCCAGTGGGAGGATGCTAATTTGATCAAGAAGTACGCAAACCATCCATACTGTAGCCTGTAAGAATTTAGATGGTAAGAGTTGTCCATTTTACAGCAACTTGAGCAATGCAATATAGTCTGATGCAATTTACAATGCTCTAATGCAAGAAACACCTGGACATCTAGCCAGCAGCTCTGAATTTTGACTGCTACTATTCAGAAATAAAGTAAATATACTGCTCTGAAGAGTTTCAGTATTCAAGTATCTTTACATCCTATAATTGTACAAGGCTCCTTTTTCACACACATTTTATTGTACACTTATAGGGACTAAAACATTAATACAAGAATAATCTAGTGAAAATATTTTCCAAATAGAAGCAAAATTGTTTTTAAGTGCTCAGTTGATTTTATACATAAATTACAGAAAGGCTTACATTTAAAAAAATGGAAAAGTAATGTTTTGCGAAAAAATTAGAACTAAAGAGTGCACAGAAATGTCTGTACAGTTAATGTTGCTTTCAGTACACATTAGTTACACATATCTGGACATAATTAACGTGGCACCTAACTAGCCCCTTACACAGTAAAGTACTTGATTTGCTCATACAATAGAAAATATGCCTTTAATTATTCGTTGAGTGTGCCCCAATGGTATATTTCTATTTTTAGTCTATGTTGTCTATTACAACAATTGTCATAAATATTTAGCTTTATCCAAACTAGAAAAAAAATGTATTTCCCAGTCAGCTCTAACTCTAAAACAAATACTTGATTCAGTTGTTTGACTGCACTATCATTTTCTTCTCTCTTTGCAAACAATGGAGAAACAATACATTCTGAATCTATAGTAAAATAAACTATGGGTGCTTGTACATGTGACGGGGGTTTAGTTCTCCCTAAATCAAAATGGTGGGTTTTTAATTGGTGCGTTTTTAATTGTGTCATTAAAAAACCCACCATTTCAATTTAGGGACCTCCGTCAAGTCATGTGACCTCACTGTGTGTCATGGCCCCCCTGTCAGCACACCTGCCTACCCCTGCCATGGGCAGGCTCCACCAGAAAAAAAAGGTGAGGGGCCTGATCTTTCCACCCCCAGAGCCTTTCCGGGGGTGGGGGGTCATGTTGAGCTGCCGGCAGGCTGACTGGTCCCTGAGCTGCAGAGGACCCCAGTCCTTCCCTCTGAGGTGGCGGTGCACCCTGGGCAGCATCTACCCGCTAGCAGCCCAAACAGCTGGTCCCAGGGGGCACTGCCACTGTGGAGGGAAGCACCAGGCCCTGCGCAGCTCAGGCAGGCAGGCAGGCTCTGAGAGGGAAAAAAAAAAGAAAAAGATCAGGCCCCTTGCTGCTTTTTTGTTTTTTTTCCTCAGTGGAGCCTGCCCGCATGAGCTGCCACCAGGTTGCACAGCCTGAGCTGTGCAGGGCCTGGGGCTTCCTTCCACAGTGGCAGCGCCCCCCCAGGATCGCCTGGACAGGGTGCTAGCAGGAGGGTGCCACCACCATGGAGGGAAGGTCCAGGGTCCCCCACAGCTCAGGGGCTGCTTGGCCCTCCAGCAGCTGGTTCCCCCGGCTGTGGGAGAGGCAGGCAGGCTCCAGCGCCCCATGCACTGTCCCAACCGCCTTCCCGCCACCTTGGACCACCCGGGAACAGCTTGGCTTGCCCCTGGGGCAGTGCAGCAAGGCGGCAGGATGGTGGCTGGGTGTGCTGGTGGCGGGAGAAGTTGGTGGGGGTGGTGCATGGGGCACTGGAATCCCACCAAGCCCCAGCTTCCCCGAGCACGTCTGGGCTTCCAGCTCCCCATGCAACATTGCACTTTATGTAGCAAACTAAAATACTTTGGATGGGTTTTACCTTGCTATGTAACAGGATCATTTAAAGTGAAATATGCTGTTGAACATGTACATTGTCATGGAATTAAAGCGAAATACACTGCCGAAGGTGTAAATAGTGAAGCTATTGAAGCAGTGCAAAAGAGCAGTTAAGCCTCTTTAAAGGCCGATTTTGTTGTGTGTACAAGTACACTATAAAGCTAGGGATAGAAGTTACACATAAACCAGTTTAAGTGATCAGAAACTGGTTGAAACCTGTAACAGAACATAAGTTCAGTGCATATAAACCAGTTTCAAAATGGCCAAAACTGGTTTAAGACAAACCTGGTTGAATGTAGTATCAGACTTAATTGATTCGGGTCAGACTGGTTTATGTGTTTTCTGTCCCAGACCCTTTCCTAGTTTAAGTTCAGCCAGAGTCCCCCAGCATCCCGGCATACTTCTCAGCCTTGGGCTGTGCTCTGTGCTCTCTGCTCCAGCAGAGCAGGGCTGGCCCCACCCCGCAGCTGCCAGCAGGGACTTTTCCACCTCCAGCAGCCTGGAATGGGGTGGATTCCCTTGCCTCATCCCCTCCCCTGCTGGGGAATCAACCCAGCTCCTGGCTGGGGCAAGGGAATAAAGCCCCCACTGCTGGCTTCCCCCCTCTGCCGGGCACAGGGTGGGCATTCCCCTCCCCCCAGCTGCCCTTCAGGACCTGCCAGACTGTGGGCTACACTCACTGGGGAGTCCCGTACTGCAAGACAGGTTGGGACAAGGGAACTACAGCCTGGGATATGAGCCCCCTCCCTCGTCCAGTGTCAGCTCGCTGTAGCCCTGCCACAGCCTGGTGGGTAGAGTGGGCTAGGAGCCACAGAGGTTGTGCCAGGCAGGGCTGATGGGCAGCAGGGGTTGGCTCCTGCCATGCAGGAGGGAAGGACTTGCCTGACACTCACAGAGGGCTCGGGGCAGGCCTGGCTCCCCAGCAGGGGCAGGGACGAGGCACCGTGCTACAGCTCTGCCTAGGAACTGCTAGGTAGCCCTGATGCTCTGACTCCCATAGGCCAACTCCAGCGAAGTGGCGGCAGCAGGAGTTGTGCTTGCTCCACCGCCTTGGGATGCAGCAGGGGTCTGCAACAAGGATGGGAGAGGGAGGGGGAGGAGGCTGCTGTTTTTCCTCCCCACTTCCTTCTCAGTCAGCCTGCTGGCCAGGGAGAACATATCACAGGGTTAGCTGCCTAGCTCCCAGCTGCAGAGAAGCCTGCAGTCCTGATCTGAGCCAGAGGCTGGGGTGGTCACCCAGCCATGCCCCCTGCCCAGTTGGCAGGTTGGCTGAGGAGGGGGGGGGGGGGGGG